GGGAAAGAATTCTTCGGCTTGACACCGAGTGCATAATACAAAAAAGGAAAATTTGGTAAATTGGACCTCATCAAAATTTTTAAAAAGTTTTGCTGTGTGAGAAACCCTTAGAGGTTGAAAAAGCAACTGTGGGGATGGGGGTGGGGGTGGACACCTGCAAACCACAGGTGTGACCAGGCACTCGCATCTAGAACACATAAAGAAAGCTCAGAACTGAACAGTGAGAAACAAGTAATCCAATTAAAGAGTGGGCAAAAGACAGGAACAGACATTTCATTGAAGAGGTTATACACATAGCCAATAAGCACATGAAAAGATGTTCAACGTGATCAGCCATTAGAAAAATGTAAATTAGATCCACAATGAGACACCTCTTCACACTTATCAGAAAGGCCAGATGAGAAGCATAGTGATAACAGCAGATGGTGGAGAAGGTGAGGAGAAGCTAGTTCACTCATGCACTGCTAGTCAGAATGGGAAAAGGTACAGCTGCTCTGCTAAAGAGCAGTTTGGCAGTTTCCAAATTGGAAAAGGTGTAAAACTAAAAATGAACTGTAATACAACCTGGCAATTATAGTCTTAAACATTAACCCCAGAGAAATGAAAATTTAGGTTCACAGAGAAGCTCGTATAAATGTTCGTAGCAGCTTCATTCCTAGCAGGTAAAAACTGAGGACCACCCACCTGTTCTTCAAAGGTGAACAGCTAAACAAAGTGGTACATCCATACCATGGAACACTGGTCGGCTAGAAAAACCAATGGACTGTTGATACAGGCAACAGCCTGGACCCCCGGAGAGAATTATGTTGAGTGAAGAAAGTCCATCTCAGAAGATTACATACAATGTAATTCTGCCTAAGTAACATCCCTGAAATAACAAAATTATGTAGAGATGGAGAACAGATTAGTGGTCACCAGAGGCTAGGGAATGGGGGGTTGTGATGGAAACGTTCCATATCTTGACGGTGGTGGTCCACGAAGCTACACAGCTGACAAAATAGCATAGAGCTACAAGCGTATCTGCATATGCATGCGCACGCACACACACACACAGGTGCACGCACATAGGTGAATGCATGTATAACTGGTAGAATCTAAGTTCCATGGATTGCATCAAAGTCAGTGTCCCGATGTGGAGGCTACCGTCATGTAGGACAGTGTCATCGGGGAAGACAGGGTGAAGGGTGCACAGAACCTCCCTCCATCTTTCTTTGAAACTTCCTGTAAATCTGTAACTGTTTCAAGAAGAAAGTTGAAAAAATTGTGTTCTGTGTACCAGCAACAAGAGAGATAAAAATTTTAACCTTAAAAATTTAAAAGAAAGGATGCCATTTGTGTTAGAATTTTTTTTAAAAAACCCAAAAAAACTCAAATCCCCAGAAACATGTGAAAGAGCCCTACACTGAAAACCACAAAAGTATATCGAGAAATTGAAGGACTTGTAAATGAAGAGAGGATTTGCCTTATTCTTGGATTAAAAGTCTCAAGATTGTAAAGAGGACAGTTACCTCCAAATTGGTCTACAGATTTAATACAATCCCAATAAAAAGCCCCCCAAGTTTTCTTTTGTTGAAATTGACAAGCTGATTCTAAAATGTATCTCCCCCAACCCCCATTTGGGAAGGACTAAGAATAACCAAGGCGATGTTGAAGAAAAAGAAAGAGGACAGAGGATTTACTACCAGGTATCAAGATATATGAGAAAAGCTGTAGTAATTACAACAGCAAGGTATTAGTGCAGGAATAGACAAACAGACCAATGGGACAGAATGAGGAGTACAAAAAGAGATGAGGGTAGATAGATAGATGATAGATAGATAGATAGATAGATAGATAGGTATTTGGTTTATGAAAAGGGTGACATTGAGGAGGGGAAAGCATGGTCTTTTCAATAAATGGTGGGTTCTTGTCAATTTCATATCCCTATAGGAAAGAATTAATGTTGACCCATATCTCATGCCATAAATAAAAATCAGTTTCAGATGGACTGAATCTGAACATGAAAGGTAAAACAACAAAGCTTCTGGAATTAAACAGGAGAATATCTTCATGATCTTGGAATAGGCAAACAAATGGAAAATAAAGAACTAACTCTAAACGGGGAAAATGAACAAACTGGACATCAGAATAAAGAACTTCTCTTCATCAAAAGACGCCATTAAGAGAACGAAAGGCAAAGCCCAGATGCTAGGGCATTTTGGCAGTAAATATAACCAACAGGGCACGGACCCAGAATATGTAAGAACTCCTGCATGTTAAAAAGAAAAAGTGACTCGATATAAAAATAGGCAAAAGACCTGATCGCAAGGGCCCTCCAGAAAGGGCACCTCCAGAAGGACATTAAACCACTAAACTTACAAAAGTGCCCAGCAGCCTCAGTCACTGGAAATGCGAGTTAAGGTTGCAGAGAGTGCAATCCCAGAGGAATGGCAAATAGAGAATGCTTAGAATGCCAAGTGTTGGTAAGGATATGGAGCTACTGGAATTCTCATGCACCCACTTGGGGAAACAGTCTTGCTGTTTCTATGAAGCCTGATCATACATGAATCTTTTGTTGCAGGAATTGTAGGCATAGCCTTTATGTACGTAGGTCTGGCCTAGCACACAGCTCACAAAACTGTATGTACATTCATGAAAAGACACAAACCAGTTATTTATAGCAGCACTATCCATAATAGGCAGTATCCATAATTCTATCCCCAACAGTAAAATGCATAAATGTATTGTGATATATTTGTACTGTGGGATATTACACATTATATGCACGTATTATTGCTACATGCAGAAACATTGAGGATTCACTCAAACATCATAGTGAATGCAAGAAGTCAAATGTAAAATCATCCTTCATGGTTTTATTCATAAAAACGTCAAAAACGTCAAAAGTAGTATCGGGGCCGGGGGGGGGGGGG